TCCGGGCTGGATTCTTGGCCACCCGACGTCTCGAGGAAGCCTACACACTACGCAAGTCATATCCCTGGATTATTTGGCCAGGGATTGCAAGAACTCTCAACACAACTCAACTGCGATAGGACGCAGATAAAACACGTAGGGCAAGGCGAAGCAAGTGCAGGACGGATCAAGTGGTCAGAAGGTTCTGCTCAAGTGGTCAGAAGACTCAAGCTTCGTTTTATTGGATAACCGTGATCGATTGGAAAGATCACACCAAGTACTCGGTTTATCTTGTGAAGATTTCCACAAGATAACCAAACCCCCTATCCCTAACCAGATTAGAATCAACATCGACTCAAGTCCACCGAGAAGAGAGCAACCCGCCCTACCGACGGGTAAACAAGGTGATGAAGGCTATACACACGGAATCGGGGTACCCCCTCCGTTAGTCGGTCGTCCGGGCGCCAGTGGAGAGTTGGAGTCGCATCAGCAATTTTGCGAATCCCACTCCACCACAATGGCGCGCGTGCCCGGATCTTCTGGTGACTCGGGATTTCACCAAGAGTCCCTGAGAGAAGATGTTGTGGTGGAGTGGCGATCACAAAATTTCTGATGTGATCCCGACTCTCCACTGGCGCCCAGACGACCGACTATCGGAGGGGGTACCCCGTGTCCGTGTAACTTTCCTTCCTCACCTTGTGTACCCGTCGGTAGGGCGGGCTGCACTCTTCTCGGTGGACTTGAGTCGATGCTGAACTTGACCAGGGTTGGGGATTGGTCGGGGGGTCGATCACGTGAAAAATCCTCACGCGATCGAAAGTTGTATGGGGGGTGCTCTATGAGTCACCCTGGTCTGCCTTGAGACCGCCTTATCCAAATGTAGATACTTGATCCACTTGATTTCACTTGATCTTCTGACCACTTAAGCCGTCTCGATCTTGTGCCTTGTCCTTTACGTTGTATACTGCGTCCGATCGCAGGTTTTTTTTGCTTGGGTGGAGAGTTCTTGTAATCCCTGGCCAAACAATCCAGGGATATCACTTGTCTTAGCGTAACAGAAGCTCTTGATCGTCGGGGGCCAAAGTTATCCGCCCGGAAGAGAAGTCTGCGTGCGTGCTTAGAAGTAAAAGAAACTCTGTTTAATGTTAATTAATCCAATACCAAATCCTACGATTATGCCTATCTGTATGACAGTACCTACTGCCGCGTGTCGTCTTTTCAGGAAAATCAGACCTCGGTATGTGGTCCACTTCGGATACCATCGCGATCTTGATCCGTCGATCGAGGTTACGATCGATCTGTAACCGGTTACATCTTGCGATCGGCTTTCTGGATCGAGGTTACGATCGATCTGTAACTGGTTACATCTAGCGACCGGCTTTCTGGATCGACGATCATGATCGTCGATCACACTTGTTGATCAGTATACTTGTTGAACAAGATCGACGATCACACTTGTTGATCATGATTGACGATCACACTTGTTGATTAGTATCGTCGATCACACTTGTTGATCACGATCGACGATCACACTTGCTGATCATGTTCGATGATCACACTTGTTAATTACGTGGTGGAGTGGATTCTCAAACGACGTGAGAGAACCACAAACACACACAGCACCGGACTGCCGACTTACGGAGGGGGTACCCCGATACCGTGTCGTGTTGGCCTTGGGTCTCACCTTGTGTACCCGTCGGCTTGGCTGGTCTTGCTCCTCGTTAGACGCAGAAGACTTAAAGACTTGGTCTTTGTATAAGACTTGGACTTGGTGGTCCCCGAGTGGATATACTTCACTTGGGACCGGGTTTCTTGGGCTCAATCGACTTAGTCGAGAGCGATGCACCTGGTACTGCGTACCCCTTTGGTGGCTGACTGTTCTTGGTCCTTGGACCCCTTTGTGTTCTTCCCCGTAGGGAAACCGCTTCCTGTAGCGGGTCGTAGAGTGTTGACGCTTACTTGACACCTCAGGCCAACTATCCTGAGGCTCAACTTGCGTTGCTTGAGCCGTCACCTAACACCTGCTGGACGTCGGGGGGCCAAAGGGTATCCCGCCCGGAAGAGGTGAAGCGACGGAGAAGCTAAGAAGGGCCGCTTAAAGCTGCCACGTGTAGTGCAAATTCGAGTGTGTTTATTTATCTTATTCTCTGTATGCTTTTCTTGCCAAACCTAACCCTTCGCTCTGGATGGTACCACGTGTCAACTTGTGGAAGAACAACTAGCTCTTTTAGTACATGGGACTTGTACCGGCTCTGCACTTAAAGGAAGCCTTGTACCTTCTATTCCCTGGGGTCCACCGGTCACCTGGGTCCACCTGTTAACGGGGGTCCACCTGTCACGGGGGTCCACCTGCCACCTGGGGTCCACCAGTCGCCTGGGGTCCACTGGTCACCTGGGTCCACCGGTCACCTGGGTCAGCCTGTCGCCGGGGGTCCACCTGTTACCGAGAGTCCACCTGTTACCGGGGGTCCACCTGTCACCTGACCTGGGGTCCACCTGTCACCTGGGGTCCACTGACCACCTGGGTCCACCGTTCACCTGGGTCAACCTGTCACTGGGGGTCAATCTGTTACCTGGGGTCCACCGGTCACCTGGGTCCACCAGTCACCTGGTTCCACCTATCGCCTGGGGTCCACCTGTCACTGAGACCCACCATCGCCTGGGTCCACCGGTCACCTGGGTCATCCTTCACCTGGGGTCCACCGGCCACCTGGGTCCACCTGTTGTCTGGGACCCACCTGTTACCTGGGGTCCACCTAAGCTGCCCTAGCAGCACTAGTCCTTTGGTCTGTAGTGTAGGACATCCTAGTACCTTCTCCGAGCCTGGGACCTTGGACCAGTTCGGGGCCCTGGTCACTCCCTGTCACTCATTCAAGAGAGTGACCGAGATCTTTCACGCCAGTTAATATAATAACTTCGAAGGGCCCCCCCATTTCTCTGGCACTTCTCCACAGCTGGGCCCCGGTGACTGGTACCCCTGGGCCCCGGTGATTGGTACCCCTGTCCCCGGTAGCTGGTACCCCTGTCCCTGGTGCCCTGTCCCTGGTGACTGAAACCCTTGTCCCCGGTTACTAGAAACCCTGTCCCCGGTCACTGGTATCCCTGTCCCCGGTAACTGAAAACCCTGTCCCTGGTGACTAGTACTCCGGTCCCTGGTGACTGGAAACCCTGTCCCTGGTGACCCTCGATTGAACCTTAAGACCTTGCGAGGCCTGGGCCCTTGTACCCTGGGGCCCCTGTACCCTGGTACCCTGGGCCCCGATTCTCCTGGCACTTCACCACAATTACAATCGATGATCACGATTGTTGATCACGATCGACGATCACACTTGCTGATCATGATCGATGATCACACTTGTTAATCACAATCGACGATCACGATTGTTGATCACGATCGATGATCGCGGTTGTTGATCACGATCGATGATCACACTTGTTAAATACAATCGGTGATCCCATGTCCATCACGAACATGTGGATCGCATAGTAAGATTGCGATCGAGAGATCTTCACCCTGATCGTCATCACAGCCGCGTAATCCTCGGCCAACCGTGGCCATCACATGATCGATCCAGATAAACTGTCATTCCAATACAATAGCCAAGTATAAACTATGCGATCATTCATCGATAAATCTTGATCGCTCCAATACAATAGCCAAGTATAATCCATAGAATATGATTCCCGCCGTGTGAGTGGTCCACATTATGATCACTTTCGATATCGTTGATCAAACTTTTCTTGATCGACTTCACCACACGAACTTGACCTTCATCGCATCGTCATCGATGCGACGAGCCTCAATGGCATCGTCGATCTCGACGAACCACCTTAACAAAGAGTCGCTTTCGACTGCCTTGTACTTGGAGACATCAATCTTCAAGGACTCGGGTCGACGTGTATGCGCCGACCCGGCAGCAACAGCACTAGCCTGCTGTTGTCTCAACAGTTCAGACTGTTGAGCACCCTGCTGCATCAACAAGTCAGCTTGTTAAGCGCCTTGTTCTCTCAACAGTTCAACCTGTTGAGAACCTTGCTCCTGTAGAAAGGTGAGTTTCTTTACAACTTCGTCAAGTTCGTGTTGTATGAACTTGGCGATGGTTGCATGTTGGTCGTCTCCGCTAAGAGAGAGCAACATGGCACCAACGACAGGGTTGCCGATGGTTTCATCCATACGCTGAACCGCATTCCATTCGAGGTCACTTAAATGGCGGAAATCATCACGCGTTGCGTGATGACGTTCATCACCCGCTAATTCCATAGCGGATGGTGCGGTGGTCGCTGAACGGACCACGAAGTGCTACCAGGTGTAATGGGGCACCCTCCGACTATACTGATTACAGTATAGTCTACTTTCACTGATTACAGTGAAAGAAGGTGCCTCAACTACCTCACGTACACGTGAGCAGAGGAAGGCAATCAACTAAACAAACGCTTAGTTGAGAAGGAAAAGAAAACTGTATTTAATATAGTTAACTGTCTAATAAAACTAATCTGTTATAACCTATGTTAACTATATTAAACTACAACTATGTATGTTGACAACTTGCCCTCCACTCATTGCGCGCGTCCATCGGTCATTGGTCAGCGCGGTGGTTGATATGATGGCCCATATCAACCAATGAGAGGGCATCTCCAACTCTAAGGAGATCTAGGAACAATATTATAAGAAAAGATATAATTGTCAAATATTATTAGTTATAATAATATTTTTATTGACACTTCATATAAGTGTCAATATTATGTAACGGGCTCACCCCGTTACAAACTCCGCTACGCGATGACTACAAATAACGATTTCTAAAATGAAAAGGATGTAAATGTAAGACAAAGGGTGTGAATATAGCAACTCCCTAAAGAAAGCAACAGCGAGAATTATTATTCATCGATATATATCTTTTTAGGCTCGCCCTCACACCATACATTTAATTTCATTATTTCGACTCATCTTTTCGCAGGTCATTGCTAAACCAGGTCAATACTACTATCGTCTTTTACTCACGTTTTTGCAAATATTGCACTCAGGCTGCCTTCGTCTTGTGCTTGGGCATGGGTAGCAGCATACTCGTCTGTGCCTTGTACTCTTGCCACGCTCTGGTCTTTCCCCAGCGCTCCTCTGCTTGGGTTTCCAAAAGTGGGACGCCAGACACGAACATAAGCAGGAACGCGACAAACACGGGGCTCACGGCGGCCCAACATTTCAGTGAAGTGGTGGGTAGAGTATGCACGCTTATGCAAAACACACCAACCCACATCATGATTTCCCCGCAATAATTAGGGTGGCGACTGTAGTACCAGAGACCGCTCTGAATAAACTCGTCCTTCTTGCTCTTGTCGCGACGAAAGTGCGTCTTCTGGTAATCGGCTGTGACTTCCATAGCGTAGCCGATAACCCAAAGGGAGACACCTGCGATGTCCAACGGCGACACCTGCGGGCTGTGAGAACCGTGCTTAAGCGTCAATAGCACTGGTAACACTGTGAGCAGCACCCAAAGGCCCTGGATACTCCAAACGCCCAGGAATTGTAGCGCATTCACTCGAATTTCTTTAAACCGTTTGTCTTCTTTGCACTCAAGAATGCGCAGGAACAGAAAACTACCAAGACGAATACACCAGAGCCATACGAGTATTGTCAGAAGCGACTCTCTCCAGGAAACAGGACCGTTAATGCTGTAGACCAGGAGAGATACCACCGCGTACGTGATGGAGCCCGTAAGGTCGAAATAGCGTTCATTCTGCTTGGGAACAGCATAGAGCGCCGAGAGCCATTGGATACCCATGCATACCACTGCATAGAATTCCAAATTCGTATAGTAAGCTACAAATGTAGCTAGGGAGACGGCAGTTACCATCCCTGCAATGTCACGTAGAAATTCCATATTTGCTATGGTTTAATTGATTTTGATAGACTGAGAAAAATTCTCAAGAACTCTCATTTAGCATTTTTTCCAATTATTGGAATTCAAATCAACAATTATTGTTGTCAAGTACGCATAAGAAGAGTAATCCAGGCGAAATCGTGGGGTTCACTTCCTACGCAACCGTAGTCGATAAACCAGCATTTAGGGCTCAATACCGCCGACACTACGCGTATGGGTTGCCAACAACTTTTATCGAGGCACCACAGCGGACTATTCCTGTAGAAGGCCCATACTGAATGCAATACACAGGTTAACAATTTCTTTAACGACCAGTAAATGCCGAGCTTCCAAAAAACCTCATAATTTCTGTACCTGTGAATAGTCATTATTGTAAACGTATTCTAAAATATAAATAGGCGGGCGTTAGATATCCCACACTTTTTCGTTAATGACCCCAATTCTCAAATTTGTCAAAATCTCTTGGTAAGAATGATTGTTAGCTAGTAGAAGAGGTCGTCGATAATAATGGATACATTATTCATTAATTTACAATGCACAACCTCCACAACTTGCATATGCATCCCTCGAACAAGCAAGATTATCAGCATCAGCATCTTTTTTGAAAGTTCAAAATGAGATGTTCCCATTTAGCATTCTGACCAATTAGATTTGGACAGATTTGAGACTGGGGGCTAATTAACGAAAAAAAAGTGTGGGATATCTATTTCTAAATTATATTTTATACCTATTAAATTCGAGTCTCACCAATATATTGTTTCAAATGGATGACGATTCCGTGCTGCTGGAGTCAGCAGCTTCTGTATCTACAAGTTTTAATGCCTTTGCATGGGTAGAAGAGGCATTATCTTGTCAATCTGGAAACGTATCAGCTCTTCTTCCTCTCGTACCACAACTTACGTTACGTTCACAGACTCTGGCTAAGACATTACATACTTTATTGCAACACATTTCAGTCGCAGGTCCTGCTCTCCAAACGCGTCTTCAGGAGCTACAACAAGACGTTGTACCACTTAGTAGACAATTAGATGCTGCATATGAAGCCTGTACGTTTAAAGATATCTCAACTGTGTCTTCTTCTGCCGCCGTAGGCCAAGATCTGCGTCATCTTGTGACACTTTACGAGACCAAACGCCGTCTCCAGAGCTGTTCACAAGCGCTTGTAGAGGCTGCAAGATGGAAACGCAATGTACGCACCTGTTTTACTGCAATAGAAGACCCGGTGTTACTGTCACAAGCTATGAAAGGTGATCTTTTAGACGTTGCAAACAGTGACGTTGATCATTTGGCTGACCGAGTACGAGAGATGCAGACGAGTTTGAACGTGTTACGAGACTTACCAGGTGCTAGGGAACGCAAACAGACATTGGAGAGACTTTGTGTGCAGATTGAAGCAGCAGTACTGCCTAGACTCGCCTCCAAGCTCCGAGAGGACGATCTGGGTGATGTGAAACCGTTACGCTGGTGTCTCAATGTGCTTGACAGTGTTGACAGAGCTCGCCTTGTAAGAGAAGAATTCTGTCGAGCAAGACCGGCAAATGTGCACCGTATCTGGGACGCATTCAGTGATGCAATGAAGACTGGACCAGACGATACGGATGATAACAAAGACGCCTTTGCAAATTGGCTCGATAATTTCTACGGGGATGTACTAAGGATGCTGCAACGCGAGAGTCGCAATACTCGGGAAGTTTTTGGTGCTGATATGTTAATTAGTATTCTGCTTGTGCTTCTTCGTAACACACTGGAGCCTCTTACCAAGTCATTTCGAGACCGTCTTGTGCACAGCAGTTCTTCAGGCTCGGACTTTTGTCTTGGTCGGCTATTGCGCTGCTTCCGCTTGACACGAGGATTCGCTGGTCAATTAGTGCAGCTTTTCAAGTCGCTGGAAAATGAACTCGGTGTAAATCTAGCCGAAAGCGATGACAGAGCTGTAAGCGCCGAAGGCATTCTACGCATTGTTTTTGAGCCGTATCGACTGTATTTCACAGAATATACGCGCTTCACTAGCAACGCTCTTACTGATGCGCTACTACGCCTCGTGCCTTCTTTTAACGTGACAAACAACGAAGTACTGGATAGCGAAGAACACGTAGACGAAGTCCGAGATGAAGCAGCTATTGCACCACTCGAGGATTTCTCACAACGACTTGAGGAGGCATCAGAAGCAGTTTGGATGCTTGTGGATGAGAGTCTACAGCACTGTTATGAATTCACAGGTGGGGCCGCTTTTCCAGAAGCCGTAGAAGCCATCGGTGCGGCAGTGCAGCAATTTACGCTAGCTTTGGGCGCGACAATGTCAGCCATCCGCAAGTGCTGTAAAGCTGAATCTACTTTGCCAGGATCAGCTACAGGAACGTTAGTCGCTTCGCCCGATTGGAGTCAATTTCACGCATCTTTAGCTCTTTTAAAGGCTTGCGGTACCCTTGAAAGCCAACTTTGTACGATTGACGGTCGGCTGCGCGTTCGCATGCGTGAGCAACTTGCCCAATTTTTCGGCGAGACGTCGGGGTCTTCATCGCCGCGCAGCCGTCGCAAGAAAATACATGATGAACTAAGTGTCGCGCTAGCCGATCTCGTGGACCCAACAAAACTTGTAGCAGCCGTATCAAAAGCATGGCTTCATGATGAGGATTCGACCCGACAGTCCCGATTTCATCAGTTTGAAATGGAGCTGCTGGATCAATCAGTGGAATCGTCAGGGCTGGACGCTGCTGTATCTCGCTACCCAACTGCAAAGGTTCGTGCTTCACCTTGCTGTTCTCCCTAAGGTAACTTACCGAGCATTTCTGATTGCTGTGACTGACATAGATGCTCGATGAAGCTCAGCGTGCCGTGCGTTCATGGACAAGAGAGGCGCAGCTTCTCACACACGACACAGTATTCCTACCTATCGCGCGTGTACTGGACACACTTCCTACCAACGAGGTACAGCACAGCCCCTAGGATATAGTCACTGACACTCCTGCATTTACAAACTGCTGATGCTTTATTTGCTTGTAGATTTGGGGTAAGGTGCCGGACGCAGCTCTGGGAGACCTACCGGTCTTCAGTATGCTCCCACAAGACTACATTACAATGGTGGCTGACCTCTTGCTGTCGCTTTTACCGCAACTTGAGCCCTTTGCAAAAAGCAGCAGTCTCGAGAGCGCCTTTGTGGCCTCGCGTGGAGCACAGGAAGCGTGTGTTCAGCGTGAGTGGACTCGCTTAGGTCAAATCCTCCAACTGACACCCCCTGAACTCTTGTCGTGCCAGCGGATTTTTGGTTTGGATGGCAAGACTGCTGTCTCGGAACCAGTACCAACGGCGACAGAGTTTGTGGACCTGTGGACGACGGCAGTGGCCAGCAGCACGCTAGCTGCCTTTTTGCGTGCGGTGTGTTCCATTTCGATGTTGTCGGAAATGGGTGCACAGCAGTTGGCTGCTGATCTGGGCTACTTCCACAATGTATTGAGCGCCGTGGGCGGTGAGGGCAATTTCATTGTAAATGACCTTCGATGTGCACTAGAGATGGACCTGCAGGCCAATATCCATCACGTCGAAGAGCTACAGGCTGACCATGACAGTCCTGAGAACCAAGCGTTGGCTAAATTGAACGACTGCATAGTCACCATGCGCCAGCGTGCGCTAGAACAGTCTCACCAATCGTCCTAGCTAGTGCTGGCTCGACATCCACATCCTCACAGCTATTCCAGTGATGTGTGTCTAACCTGAGATGAACGGGAAACAGCTCTGCACCTTATGCATTCATCTCTTTGCTGCACTTTCCATCCTGACAGGTTATCTCTGTTTGTAGTTGTGGCTTGGTGAGGACGATGACGTCTATCTACTTTTACTACAACGAGCTGCTTCATCACAGTGCAGACCAAGCAATCATGCACGACAAGAATACACATGGTCCTGGACACGAACACATTCGGCAGCAACAAGGAGATAAGTCTTTTGAGATCATGCATCAGGGGTGCAGCAACAATCCCGGACAAATGACATTTAACGCGATCGAGAAACAAGACGACGACAAAGTCCTGAAGGTGCCATTTCAACTCCACCCCGATACTGAGGCCACGCTGATCGCGCTTCAGCCACGCATGAACCGACTTTTCTACCTGCAAACAGCAGTAGGGACCAGCCTGGACGTTCTGGTACCGATCTCTTGGACCCAAACTTTAGCAACGCATCGTGGTCTTCAGACGTCAAAGATGCGTACACAAGCTTTATGAACTGATCAAGCCTTCATGAGTAGGTGTTGTTGTACGTCGCTAATGATTACTCTCTCCGCCAGCCACCCTGCTTCAAATTTGACGTCTTTTCCAAAACATCGACAGGTTTCTTACCTGTCAATGCTAGACCCGCTACTTAGCGACTTGGAGAAAAAGCGACGCTGATGCAGCAACACTTGCCATATTTTGTCAAATGACTTCTGGCGACTTATAGGTTTGCCATCATAAGCAGCAGTATTAGTATCTCCGGTTGATCTGCTTCCGAGGATGGCATCCCGAACATTGTTAATTTCGGCATCAGCTACGACGTCTTCGACGTCGCTATTCGTGTGCATGTTCTGTCCTTCCATCTCATCGCTAGCGAGACGCATGTAGCACTCGGCACTAGGGCGTTCCTGCTGTGCTTCATCGTCTAACAGGAGCTGAGTGCCATGCGTAGACATGAATGATGGACGAGCTTCTTCTTCTTCAACTTCCACCTCGAAAGTGTCACCTTTCAGCATAACACCACCACCATCTCCAATGCTTTGGGCTCCATCACAACCTGTTAGCTTACCGACCTCACTTGCGGGTGCATTTGTCACCTCATTGTGGACATTCAAGACTTGAGAAGTCGATACTGACGGTCGATGTGCAGCAGCTGTCACTTCTTCAGCATACCGCGTCCTGAACACAGAATGTTGCGCTAGAATATCGTCACTCCAGGTAACAGCAGGAGCTACAGCTCCGTTGAGCCACGGATGAGCAACAACGTCGTTAATACTGATAGAAGCATTCAGAATTTTGGCCAGCAGTCGATGTAGCAGGTCCCTCGCCGCACGACTTAGCAGCCCTCCATCTACTGGGAATGTCAGTCTGTCCTGAAGCATACGTCGCTCAATGTCGACGACAGTGTCGTCCCGTTCATCGATGCTACTAAAAGGAAAAGATCCACAAAGCATGACATAAAGAGTGACGCCAAGTGCCCAGATATCGATCTGCTGAGCTTCTTCCCAGTTTGCCACCAAACTTCTCCCATCGTCATGCATGTCGACGGAATCCTTCCAGTGGCGTCTATTCTTCCGTCTCAGTAGAAACGGCGGCAGGAATCGAATGTGGTGCACGTCGTTCCAGAGAAAACCCTTCGTCTTCGGACGGCAGCGTAGCGTCAGGAATCTCCATGGACCTGCTCGTCCAAAGGTCGTTAGTAGCACGCGCGCATCTGGCTCGTCATCACTGAAAAGCAAATGTTCGGGCCTTACTTCTCCATGTATAACACCCCGTTCGTGGAGGAACTGCAGTCCTCGAGCTGCTTGCTGCAGCACGTTACTGGCGTCTCGCTCGGAGTGTAATTTCTGCAGCACTTCACCTCCTCTTGCGAGCTCAAAGGCCAGTTCCACTCTCCTCCCCACCGCCTTTACTTCATATAATTGCAGTAAGTTCTCGTGGTCTCTGGCAAGCTGCAGCACGCGAACTTCTTGGCGGAGACGACGTCGAGTAGCGCGTTGACGCAGCAGGCGACGGTCGAGTACTTTAAGGGCCACGAGCTCATGTGTCACGCGATGACGAGCAGTGTAAAATCCAGGGTGAGGTATCGTCCGAGGAGAAGACAGAGGAAGAGCAGACGTGGTGGATAAAGGACGTAAATCCACCCAATTGCTCGTAGAAGTCACGTCCGACAAGTGACAAGAACAGCCTGCACACCAACCGAACCACCACATTATAGAAAATTATTGTATGATTTTAGAGCCGGTTGCATTGTTATAGCAAGGCCTATAATGGAGATTTATTGGAGACAGTTGAGATTATTGTTGCTAATTCGTAGTGCAAGTAATCAATACGAATCAAACGAGACGACAATCTTGTAGGATTACAACTTGACACGAGAGGGTTATCAGATTTGATGAAGCATTAAGTAAAGAAATTTTGACACGGACACAGATATAAGTGATGAAGCTGGGGGATATTTGATGACAAGTGTGACGATTGGAATGGCTACCATTCGAGATTATGGGCAAGGCAAAGAGACTCGAAAAGAGTTCAAAAAGACGGACAAGTGCTTGGCGCGTGGACGGAATTGAAGGCGTGCTCTGCGGAAAGAATGATGTGATTATAGGCCTAGACCGTAGAGACGAAGATGACGAAGAAGAAAGTGACCATCAAGGACAGAGAGCGTGTCTGGACCGATGGTGATGGTCTGAACCAATAGAATCGTGGGCAAAGTGTCTTTCTAGAATCAGAGGGAACCTTTAGTCGAGACTCATGAGTTGTCAAGTTGCAGAGGCGTCGGAGGAGATGCCTGTGAACAAGGACAAAGTAGTAGTTGAAAAAAGGCTAAAGTCAGCGAAGACGGCTACGAGAGAAAGAGGAGTATGGATAGAGCACGAAAAACCATTGTAACACAGCAGAAGACTAGGAAAGCGAGGACATCACACGAATGGTCAGGAGGCTGCAGACGGACGTCTTGAAATGGATTTAACGTGCATCGCTGGAAGGGATATCTAATGAGTAGATCAAAGCGGTTCGCCCTATGTAAATGTAATTGAAGTAGGACGCCCTCACCTGAGATCGTCTCAATAAGACCAGAAGTGGTACATGTTGTGGCGATCGACATGGTCGAGTAACTTTAGTGACTTGTGTATTATGATGCGGTATAACATACTTGAAGCAAGTCAACGCATTGTTTGCATTGTATACAGTATACTCTTTTGAAACTCTTTTCTAGTGCTTTCTAAATGCGAAACGACGGCTATTGTAAAAGCTAGTATGTAGTATTAGCAACTAGAGGTATAACTATTACAAGAGGTATAATGGTTGTACAACTTCCACGTTACTTTACAAAACACAAAGTATCCCTTAAGTAACTATTACTACTTTACAATTCCGGCCGTCAAAAATGACGACTCACTACGGGCGACATCTCGAGCGACTACAACGTGGCGAGTACCTTGAAGGAAACGCTCTTTTAGCATTATGTGAACGTGTAAAGGATCTACTTGTTGAAGATGATAATGTCGTCCACGTCGCCTCTCCCGTCTCTGTCTGTGGGGATATTCATGGTCAATTCCATGATTTAGTGGAATTATTTAATTTAACAGGTCAAGCCCCCGATACAAGTTATGTGTTTTTAGGGGATTTTGTCGATCGAGGAGCTATGAGTGTCGAAACCATTTCAATGTTATGCGTACTTAAGGCGAGTTATCCAGATCGTGTCACATTATTACGTGGTAATCATGAATCCCGTCAGACGACGCAGGTCTATGGGTTTCAAATTGAATGTATGAAGAAATACGATGGAGATACACGTATTTATAAGGCATTTATGGACCTTTTTGACTTTTTACCATTAGGGGCCCTTATAGACAATAGTTTATTATGTCTTCATGGAGGTTTAAGTCCTGCATTACATCATTTGGATCAATTAAGAATGCTTGATCGATTCCAAGAAATTCCTCCCGATGGAATTTTTGCTGATATTGTGTGGTCTGATCCAGATCCCAAGACATTGGGATTTCATATGGTGAGGAACCTGATGTGATAGTAAGAAAAGAGGTTCAAGTGGCTAACAAATTGAGGCTCATTGTTACTGTTGTTGTTATTTCAGTCACCGAGAGGCGCTGGATACATTTTTGGAGAAGATGTGGTAGAAAAGTTCTTGCATACGAACAAACTAGCACACATGGCAAGAGCACATCAGTTGTGTATGGAGGGATTTCAGGTCCTGTTTCGAGAAACTTTTTCAACGGTCTGGAGTGCACCAAACTACTGCCACCGCTTTGGAAATCTTGCGGCTATCATGGCAGTTGATGATCACCTGGAGGTACGTCTGCTGACTGTATTGTTTGTGAAATGTTGGCGTTTTGATTTAAATTAACCGGAGGTTTCTTGCAGCGCACATACAAAACCTTTAAGGAAGCGCCATCGTCCAGGAACATTGGCGTGCTGGACAGTAAGGGCACGAGCTCTGACGCCATCGATGCCGGCTACTTTACATAAGCCGAGAAATGATAAACAGGTATCAAAGAAGTCGATAGATTTTGTACGGTTAACTCAAAGAGCAAGAATAATGCAGTGAGGTTGTCACCTAGTGATGACGACGCTTTTTGTCTTTGCGGTTCTTCGAACGACGCTTGTGGTCCTTCTTGGCCTTCTCATAAGCTGCTGCAATCTGCTCCATTGTCTTCAGGTGGAAAGGCTTCATCTTCGTTTTCACACACTTGTCGATTTCAAGCGCGTCGAACACCACCAGCGAATCGGGATGGTTGTATAACTGTGCGTTACCCACCATGAGATTAAAGTCCTCTTCAAACTGCTCATGTGACGCATAGTAATACTTGTCGAGACGTGCCTTTATGGTAGTCAAATCCATTGGCTGCTTTACAATCGTGTAATAGTCGGGATAGTCCACCGCAGACGGCTTTTCAATGTACAAGTCGGACCGTAGACGCCCGGTAGGGTCCTTGAGTTTAACTACAGCATCGTAGACCTTCCGGTAGTAGTAGCACAGCATCTTGCGCTCACGTCTCACCGCCTCGTCCTCGTAAGATATGTCTTCATCTTCGCCACCACCGTCTATGACGTTTTCATCTTCGTTACGCTTCCGTTTGCCATGCACCTTTTCCATAGAGCTCTTCGATGATGACTCCCTTGCCCCTTCCTCAACTCCGTCCTCACACAACTTTACAAACTCCGCATCGGTAAATTGATCGCGGTACGACATTTCCTTGCGTTTACGAGATTTGCCCGCAACGGCATCCATCTCAAAGTTCCAAACATCCTTGTCATGCTTTCCCGCTGCAATGTCGTGCTCCATAATTTCGTCGGCTTCGCGCAGCCAAACCGGGGCATCCTTCTCCGACATAAGTCGAGAACGCTGAGTGTGCAGGATATTGTACTGCTTGCAATACTCTTCCCATTCCATTGCTTCGCGAGCTTTGCGCTCAGAGTCCACTCGCTGATACAAAGCCAGTTCTTCATCCGTCAGCGCCATCATCTCATTAATCTCGTCATCTAGTAGAACGTTCGACGATTCATCCTCACCATTCACAGCGTGCGCTGCTTCCTCTTGCTCCATTTTGATGAGGCTCTCGAGCATCGCACGTCGCTCTGCCTCCTTAGAACGATTGTTGAATTTGCCGGCTTCTACCACAAGGTTGTTCATATTCATCTTGTCCGTCGCACGCGAAAGGATTTTTTCCTCCACGGGGCTATTCGTGACAAGTCTGAAGACTCGCACTTCATTCTTTTGGCCGATACGATGAGCGCGATCCTGAGCCTGCGCGTCCATGGCGGGATTCCAATCACTGTCAAAAATGATGACCGTGTCTGCTGTCGCGAGATTTAGTCCAAGGCCACCGGCGCGCGTACTCAAAAGGAAGATGAAGAACGGCGAGTCAGGCGCGTTAAACATGAACATTCGTTGTTCACGCTCATCAGCACTCGTCGATCCGTCCAAACGAAGGTAGCGGAAGCCGCGGTAGTTAAAATAATCCTCCAAAACGTGCATTAACTGCGTCATCTGACTGAACATCAGCACGCGGTGACCTGCAGCTTTCAGCTTCGGCAGCATGCGGTCCAGCAGCTCAAATTTGCCTGATGACCGCACGATATCAAAGTCAATCTGGTATCCGTTGGTCTGGAAAAGGTACGGGTGGTTGCACACCTTGCGCAGCTGCATAAGCACATTCGACAAACCCTTGGACGTATACTTTGTCTTTCCCTTCTTTTTGCCTGTATTATCCGTCGTTTCCATAAGAAGTGCGCCTCCTTCTTGAATACGCCGGTACATGATTTTCTGCCAGCCTGAGAGTTCGCACTTTAGCACCTTCTCCACTTTGTCAGGAAGTTGATCAAGAACAGAGGCCTTCACACGACGCAACAGAAAAGGACGTAGCACCTGGTGCAGCCGATTGATAATAAGCATCCGCTCTTCGTCGGAAAGCTCGTTCGAGTCACCATTACCGGAGAACTGCGCAAATGGCTTACTAAACCATTGCTCGAATGTGTCCACGGACTCGAAAATCGTCGGCAGCAAAAAATTCAAAAGCGCCCAAAGTTCTGGCAGACTATTTTGCAGGGGCGTGCCTGTCAACAACAGTCGGTTGCGCGAAGTGTACATACTTCCGAGTGTCATTGCAAACTTGCTTTGAGCATTCTTCATACGGTGACCCTCATCCACGATGATGTACTGCCAGTCATACTTACGCAGCACATGCTTGTCCTTCATGATGTACTCGTAGGTTGTCAAAAGAACATTGAACTGACACGATGCCATTTCCAGTTTGTGAAGCTCCTTGCGCACCTGAGGAGGCCCTTTATACACCACAATCACAAGATCAGGCGCCCATTTTTTAAACTCGTTCACCCAATTTGACAAAGTGGACAGTGGCACAACCACGAGGAATGGGCCGTGGTTGTGCTTGACCTCTGTCACGTACGTGAGCAGCGAAATCGATTGGATCGTCTTACCCAATCCCATCTCGTCAGCCAAGATACCGTTTAGGTGGTTGTCGTACAGAGAAACCATCCACTGCAAGCCCCGCAGCTGATACTCCTTGAGGTCACCACCAACCAGCATGAGGGGCTGTCGTGGTAGTTCGCCCTTCGACGCGATCTCTAAATAGTTTAAGTCGTCGTCTTGGTCGTCAGCATTACTTTTCTTGTCGCCTTCGTGACGTGCATCGTAATGCGCCGTGTATTCGTCGACAACGTGGTGCTTTCGTTTGTGCTGACGCACCAACTGGCGAATGCTGTCCAGATAACTATTTGTTTGGCTCAGCAAATACGTCAGACGTTCATTTTTTGCCTCAGCAACCAATTTGCCATAAGCTTCCATGTCATTTGCTTTCAATGCCTTTAGACGAAGTTTCTCTTGACGATCTTCCTCACGCTCGGCCTTGGATGCACGCTGGTCGATAAAAGCTTTAACAGCTTTCGCAGATTTACTCACCTGTGCCTTCACATTCTTGTGGTAAACAAAAAACTCACGCGAGTGATTAAGAATAGCCTTCAAGTACATTTGATGATCTGCACGCCGTTTTTTCTCCATTGCAACAGATTTTTTGCGTTTCTCTCGCTCATCACTCTGCAGCTCAACACGTGAGACAGGACGACGACGCCGAAACGATTTACGATCAACTGCAGATGGTTCTCCTAACAGCGCCAACCGTGTCGTATGTGCCTTGGCTACACGTTGACGTAATTTTTGCTGCAGCAAGACGCAACGTAAATCTCTCAGTGTCAGTTGTTCATTGTCATCTAACTCTCCAGTATAATTCTCCATTTTGTCCAAACTTGACGTTAAAAATTGCTGCAACGTATGCATGAATCTCATCTTCAGTGCCACATCATTTGTCCCTAAATGAGGTGTACAGACAGTATATGGTCCAAAAGCTGCATGGCTCTTTTGATCAATATTAATCAAGTCTCCATCCAGATATTTAGGACCAAGATACAGCAAATTACATGCAGCTCGAGTCCATTTTGGAGTCATAAGCTCAAGTATTGGAGGATCCACAGGTGTCGGTAGCGTCTCTTCTGTCGTCTTTATGATTGGGTCCATTGACTCGATATAAAAACCAGTCGTATTACATTCTTTGGCTTGCGTAATAGCTGTATCCATTGAATGACATAAGGCCTTGTACGCTCGTATCTGATTATGCAGGTACTCAAGTTGTTTCTCGGAAAAAAGTGTAGTCTTATGCTGTAGAAATGGGTTCACACTAACATTTAAAGGAATAGACGTCTGAGTCGGCGTCTGATTCTGAGTCGGAGTCTGAGTCTGATTCTGAGTAGGTGGAATCTGGATCTGAGTCTGACGCTGTTGTTGATAATGACGTAATAATGCAACAATTTGTTGATATTTGGGATGATTCTTTTCACCTGCACGTTGCATACGTAATGCTGCATCCATTAATTTCTTAACATCAGTAAGTGATAGCGTCATATGTGACGATGTCGTGGCAGAGACATCGGCACCTTCAGTCAACTCCATTTAGAGGAGGGATTAGATTCTAAGGCAATATTTATTTTCTCTTGATTTCATTATGTCAATGACCTACCCCTGAAAACACAAGGATGTAGCGAACACTATTTCATGTATATGACATAATGCACTACCTAGTACCTCTCTCTACATGAACCGTCATAATCTACGAAAAGGACGCTCGGTCGAACACGTGAAGTGGCAGTGACTTGGTCATGAGTCGAAAATATGCCATTTGCGATTCCGTGGGCTTGTCTATAAACAGCAAAAGAGAAAAAGACAGCCATTAGATACTAGAAAAATAACAATGACAAAATAGCTGGACGTTACCGTGCAGAAAGCTGACTTGGTTGTAGTACGAGACGATGGCAGCAAGTTCCTCCGGTGAATACGTGCGCATGGTGGTGCGAATCTTGCGGTAGTCTACCTGCTGCTTAAAGTGAATCTTCGTAGGAAAGTTTTCCGTCACAGCAGCGATAAAGAGACCGTTCTTCAGCTTGCGGGACTCGTCGTAACCGGTAGCACCAACGTCCTTCAGGGCAGCAATCACCGAAATGTCATCGGCTTTCACGTCCTTGCCTTCGTAGCCAAAGACTGTCTGCTGGAACCACGTGTTGTAGTCGTCAATGGCAATCAACACGGGGAACTCCGTGGTCTGTGCCAGCTCTTCCTTCAGATCGCACACGGCTTGACATGCCAACTCTTCATCGCGAACACCGCCAATAACCACATCACGCAGTGTTAGAGAAACATCCTTGTAGGTTGCGGCATCCTTTGGCTTAGACTCGTACTTGTCCGTCGGATAGTAACGCTGAGCATACTTTCCACGTAGCGGAATGGATCGTAGCTGCTTCCCATGACAGTGCAGAAATTTTTGCAACAAGTCTACACCGTAGACATCAATGTCAAACTTTCCTTCTTGGTATTGTGACTGCATCACGTACGGAGCCTCATGACACCACGAGCGTGGGTTGGGAATATAGAGCACGATCCAATTGCTCTCACGTGCAAATTGTACGATCTGATGCATTGCAAAGCTCTTGCCAGTACCACGTTCACCGTCAATCAGAAATGCGCCAATGGTGTCATTCTTGACCGTCTCCCAGTCTACAAACACACTCGTTAAGTTTCTAATCAGCAGACAATTCCCATTAGGTCACTTTTGTTGCAAAAAAACACACACACCCTTCATCATATTGATGATTTCCAGTGTTGAGTCACGCAACATAATGTGACGATGGCCTATGAGATCAAATGTGTCATTCATGCGACGACCGACACCTTCAGGAAAAAGCTCGTCCTGCTGCTCCTTAGCGAATGCAAAAAACTTGAGACGATGAGCATCCGTTGCCTATATAGTACATAAGATTATTTATCAAGTAAGACGTCTCTCCTAAGTTTTACTATGTGTCTACTATAGTAATTAATACCTGTGAGATTGACACGCCTGCGAGATTGCCCAAGTCCTCCTCTTTTAAAGTCTCTACTGTCTCTTTCGTTTCTATGAAAGCAGCAATGGGAAAGACGTTTGTAGAGAGTGCACGTAGCCTTGATTTTTGCATACTTTGCATGAAAAGACGTTTGTTTAAGACACGCATTGCCATCATGATCACTTGGTTTATGCAGTTGAGTTGGTGATGCTGCGTGTGGCTGGCAAGGCGATTAAATTCAGCCAATCATCAGCTGATAAGGAATTACCTGACATTTTATGTTCAATTGGATGCGAAAATAATAAGCAGGTAGGCGCTATTTGTCATACACCTTTTTGCTACTCATCATCCACCAAATTTAAAGAAAATCTAATTGGTCAGAATGTAGAGCTAAATTAGAAAGTCTAGTACTCATAAATACCGTGATATTTTGGCATTCTAAATCATCGGATTCTTATATTCTGTGTTGTGTATTGGTTAGCATAAAAAGGTGCATGAGAAATAGCCAATGACTACAACGTAGTAGCTTTTTGCAGTTTGTACTGTCGTCCAAGATCGTATAAGTATCCACATTCATAGTGGTACTCGACGTTATCATTCTGTACTTTTATTGTGACAAAATGCTGTCGCCTCCAACAACTGCCAAGTATGTTAAGAGGTTTGTAGCCAAAAACGATGTCAACACTCCACCGACTGTCTGTCTTCAATGTCATTAAGACGATAAATGGCGTTAATTTAATACAGACCGCTTCACCAGCTTCGGTGAGCTGTCGGAGGTACTCTGCAAATGCTTAACAATGTGACCGTCACGTTGTCTACCCATCGTCTCACTGCGCATGCTAGTTGGAAATTGTCGTTAGCCTGAAGCGGTCATTGAAATATTACGATCAAATCGTTGCATTACTTGGCTGTAGTAGCTAGGAAGTGTAAGCCAGAGGAGGAACGCTCTGAGAAGCCTTTGTTTGGTGACAGCCTGCGAAAAAGCTGATTGAACACGCATCACTACCATTTATAGTAAAACATTTGATTGAATCTTTGCAAAGCGGTGATTATTAATGGAACACTCCTTTTGCTGAACATGTTTTTAAGTAGGCAATGAAAGCCCAAGTGCATTACATGATGCGTTACTACCGATACGGCCAAACATCTCTGCAAAAGTACTAAATGTTAGGGAGGGAGAGACAAACTTTTGTACGATGGCCATTCATTTAGCCAGAATTTTGCGTCTTCTCTAACGATCTTGATGTAAAAGCGCTTACAGGTGCAACACAAAGCCTTGTCCGCTTCATATGGAGTGCTAGTTACACCCAAGTCTCTATTCCTACCGGTCTTTTACATGGGCGACTTTGTTTAGCCACAACGGAATCAGAATTGTATGTGTAGCCACATGTTCACTCTACCAGTCTTTACAGTGTTTATTTATTGGCTGGATACGATTACATTCATCGTTGATTCGCTAAAATACAATATCACAGTTGAGAGGGGTTCCCACCCATCCCGCACGCCTCACAGCTTCCATTAAGCTCAGGGCAGACTTGGATTTGACGGGTCGCTTACAGAGAGACGAACCTAGAAGCTTCCAAGCAGATTCACTAGTAAACAGTGTCATGCTAAGCCATTGTCTCGCTGCAACTTTTTGTGTGAATGAGACATCTGGAGTAACCGATCGTTATTGTTCTATTTTATCAAGTGATCACGACCAAAACAATAACATGTCGAGTAATCAACGTCAAGTATTACTAGCGGGAGAGTATGCACAACGTCGTCTGTTATCTCGTAAATCGCCTCTTGCGGTCTTTAAATCGCAACTCGAAGCTCAACAGTTACCAATACTGCCGTCGAAAGAGCAACAGCAACATCAGCATAAACAAGACGAACTTGAAGAGCAGGAGCAAAAGCAATCAGAGAGACAGTTGGAATGGCCAGAACAAGACGGAGCTGATGCGAAACTGGTTGTCAATGTTGACCCCATGAGTATACAAATCGGTCGTGAAATTGGGAAAGGGGCTTTTTCAATTGTTTACGCTGGATATTACCGTGGTCAACATGTTGCAGTGAAGTGTCAACCAAAAGATGGACATGGTAATATTCCCGCATTGGTCTTGCGTGAAGTACAAGTGTTACGTTTACTTCAGCATCCGAGATTATTGCAATATATTGGAACTGCTGATAATGTTCATGCTCGACAAGTTTGGATATTAAGTGAATATTTGACTAATGGGGATGTGGATCTACTGCTTAAGGCTATTCGTACTGAGAAGAAACGTCATCTTGGCTGGTATTGTATGGTACAAATTGCATTAGATGCAGCTTTGGGCATTGAGTTTTTGCAAGCAAGACACATTGTTCATCGTGATATCAAGTCATCCAATATCCTACTGGATGATCAACATCGTGCCAAGCTCTGTGATTTTGGCTTTGCAGTCATGATCCAACCTGCTGGTGCAGCTGAATCGGAAGCAAGTAAACAGCATCGCAAATCGTACTGCGGGACGGACGCTTACATGGCACCAGAGATGTTTTTGGACGAGGATTATGATCAGAGTGTTGATATTTTCAGCTTTGGAATCGTGCTGATGGAGATATTGTGCTGTCGTGTGGCCAATTCCGACGGGTTCTTGATGCGTCTGCCTCAATTCAAGTTTCAAGTGTCTTCGACAGAGTTTCGTGCTGCTCTCCCAGCCTCGTGTCCTCCTGCACTTGCTACTCTCGCCGAGCAATGCGTGTCATTTGAGCCAAGTGAGCGCCCCAATATCAAGACTATTGTGAGAACACTTGAAAATGCGCTGAAGCACATTAGCAACTCGCAGCACGACGTTGTAGAGCTTGTTCCTTTCACGTCTGAGAAGCGTGATTTGAAAACTGGTGCAAACGATGATGATGCTAAGTACGGTGAAGACAATGAGGATGGTAGTGAAGATGACGATGATGAAGAGGAGGATGACGACGAGGACATAGAGGAGGAGGAGGAGGAGGAGAGAACTTACAATCTGCAGACAAATGGTCGTCACAATACGATGGGTATGGAGTCGGATGAAGAAGAGCGCAGTGTGCGCTCGCAAGTTGTTGACGACCCATTTTTGGACGAGAGAAGTGTTTGTAGTGACGTGATAGCACAGCCTGCATCTCCAGCTCCTTACTATGAAGGAGTGATTCTGAAGCGCGGCCGCCGCGGCAAGCGCACGTGGGTCGAGAAATGGTTCATCGTAGACCATGACCAGCTCCACTACACGGACGTCCCGCCACGTTGGCAACAGCATCAGCAACAGAATCCGGATTGGCGTTGCACGCTGCTACCCATTTCATCGCTATCACTTCGCGAGTGTCGCATCTGGAAAACAAGGGAGATGCCTGAACTGCAATTCAACCTAATCGATAACAACTATAAGATCAAACGTGAACTCCAGGCTGTGTCAAAGCGCGACCTCGAGTTGTGGATAGAGCTCATTAATCGGGCCATCGACTACGCTAATGACGTCTATGCGCATGAGCACGATACGAGAAGTAACAGCACGACAGGAACAAGCGTGAGTAGCAGTAACGCGAGTCGCCCGAGTTGCAACAAAGTCAATGAACTGCAGCCACGCAGCCAAGAGCTGTCGAAGCCGCTAGATCAGAGACTAAAGGCAAAGTCAGTTGTTGCGGATCCGCGGATGACAAGGCGTCGGAGTAGTGTTACGAAATATGACGAACCACCCGAGTTACCTGAGACGGCAGAGGATCGCGTAGATGAAGTGTACATTTGGCTCAAGCATATCGGCTTTCAGCGGTACACGCCTATGCTGAAAGCAAAGGGCTTCACTTCACTCGACTTTATTCGCGAGGTGAGATCGTTTATATATATGATACATCATGTGTCTTTGGTCACTCACGTTTCTCATTTACTTTGTAGACCGGCATTGAGATGGAAGATTTAAACTTCGTGGGTATCAAGGAGCCCGTAGCTCGCAAATCGATTCGTGCAGCAGCTAGGACACTTCGGGGTGATGATGATTGATCCTGGGGCAAGATGGTCTTGACTCCGATGACATCATGCATGCGGCGTATTCTGTGAGGCCTGTTTCGTAGTTCGATCATCACGATTTTCCTTAAAATATAAGTGGTGCAAACGCCAGGCACCCTCCATACTTCATTCAGTTCATCCATTTGTTGGCGCTGTGGTGAGCACCACTGGTGAGACACAACCTTTTGCTGTGTCTCCTGGTACTCGCCTGAGCAACAAACGATACCCAGCTTACCAAATATCAATGCAAACTAAAATCGAGACGGAAATGCAAGCGCCTGCGTGTATACCGGATAGCTAGCATTGCAGTCTGACCAAAGAGATCCCTACATCATAAGTGCACTAGACGTCAAACCGTCCTCGACTCCTGTGAGCAGGTTGCGTAGGAAGGTCTCCGTTACACGCGTATAGTTGATGATTTCCGAGCGGTTCATCTTGTCCAGCGACATCTCCGAAAGCCCTGTCAGGTGTTCTGCGTTCTTTTCCAAATTTTCCTGCAGGTATTCAAACAGGTTCTTCTCCTTTCCGGCCGGCAGGTAGTAGCCAAAGACGTATGTGTACTTGAGCACTCGTCGACACTCAATCAGCTGCTCCGTAGCTGCGTTAAGAAACTGCACGTCGATCCACGACGAATCGCCATGGCTAGCCTGCAGCTCAATCATGCGGCTCTCCGTGCCTTCACGCATTCGTTGCGCAAACTTACCAGCTTCCGAGTGGTTCGCAAAACGTTGATAGTAGTGGAGATACCTGTCAAGCTCTGCTTTCGCTCGTGCCGCATCTGTGTCAGCACTCGCTGCGTCTGCGTCGTAACGATTGCATTTGTAGAATCCGCCCGTCCCCGATCCATGCTTGTCCCATCCTTCTATACAAATCCAGCAGAACTCGTAGTTGCAACTACGGCACGTCATGTGATTACAGCCCTGATTCTTTTCAATGCGGACAGAGCACTTGGGACACTTTTTCGTGTTGGCCAGAATCCAGTTGGCGGTTTCCGACTCGTTGCGACACTTTTCCTGCCAGGACGCAAGCTGCTCGCACGTGACAGGAGAGTGGGCTTCCTCGCCACAACGGAGGCAAAATACGCATCCACATGTACACGTCACAGACGATAATCCACCGGCGCTAGTGATAGCCTTGCTGCAGCCTGGTGACGGACACCACTTGACACCTTTATTTATGTCCACGAACGATCTCAGCAAGTAGCGTGCGTATTTGCGAAAGTCCTCCGAATTCACAATCTGCTTGAAGATCAGTTCGCTCACCACCTACAAAAAAACCCATAACATCGGTTAATAAGCTGACATCTCGAATCGTATCCCTCTCATAACACCCTTCTCACCTCTTTGCAGCCATGTGCAGGGCACGTTGTTGTTACACAAATTGGCCCTTCTTGGATCTTAAGTGACAGATATGGTTTCCAACAATTGAGGCAGTACACGTGTCCACAACCCATGCCAAAGACTTCACTAGCTGAGTATTCATCACAACAAATGTTACAGTCCACCTAAAAAAAGCAACAACAACATCATCGTCAATAAGGATGACTATAAAATGTAGCCATCGCTCCCCTCAAATCTTCTTTCTACCTTGGTCCCTGTTGGCACAATTGGTGCTTTCTTATCAGCAAACTCGACTCCAGCATCCTGTTTCGTCCTCACTGGGTCTGCATAATAACCTTCAAATAGTTTTTCCTTGTTCCAGCTAAAATATCGCAGTAAAACTGATGCTTCTGACGTTGAAATCTCCAATACTTGTGCAATCTCCGAAATGAGTGCCTCTTGTTCCTGAAGTAACTCTTCTTCATCAATCACGTGATAATCTTGTTGATGACGCGTTCCTGCATCTCCTAAGCCACTGGGACTCAGTCGTTTTTTCTTTGAAGCTGAAGTATGATCCAATGGCGATAACGAGTCCGCAGTGTGTTGTTTCTTGATAGTAGAAGCCAGAAACGTATCAGATTGAGCCGGAAGAGAATCTTCTTCTTCTTCTTCAGAATATTGATACTCTTCTTCTTCTTCTACATCACTATAATGGTATTCATCATCCGATAATGGAGAAAGTGAGGGATCGATCATGTTTGTATTCATTTTGTGAGACTTGTAGAAAGAGTTTAGAAGATTAAAAAATACCACGAGAAGGAGAAAATAAAGAGGAACAAGATGTGGTATAGATGAGAGCTTGGAGTGTAGTAGAAAGAGAGCTACACGACGACAAAGTAATGAACTTGAGGCGGCGTTTTGTAGCAGGAAAATGCAAAGAAGAAAAGTAGCGAAACGGAGGAGGGCTAAAAGGGAATTTATGGATTAGATAAGAGGCTATTTCGGTATTTAAAATACATAATGAGGCTATTTTGGTAAATAAGGAATTCATATAGTTGATGTGTACTCTTTTGTAATTATGGTAAAACTGAAGTGATTCCTCGGACTCAATACTGTATTCTTATTAAAGGAGATTTCATCGTCGATTTTACCGATAAAGTTGTGAGGCCTCGAACTTTAAGCACCACGTACTGTACCACGCAATTCATATTCTTACAGCAAGAAATATTCTAAAAATATAGAAATGGGGTCTTTGTAAACACAGCTCCTTTCAGCAGCCATTAAAAATTGATATTGGGCCGAGGGACTATAATTAAATAAAGTTTTAATGTATTCACATAAATCCGTGCTCTACCACCACGAGACAAGAACATTGACATTTTATTACAGAGCCGTCCTCTCACTGGTCACGCACATTTGTCTCAATGTATAACATAATCAAGTCATACGATCCAAATATCGCACGTTTTCGTTGGCCCGTTTTCGCAGGTCTGTAGCATGAAATACCAGTGCTTTTTGCTATATAAATGCCGAGCGTCAATGCCAACGGCCGTTACCCGAACAGAACTTGTTTATGTTAAGCCGCAGCTGCAACGAGTTTTAACCAAAATGGGTCATCAAGTTAAGCTTCGATGTGTGAATTTAAAACGATTGTACCTATTGGAATCGATAGCTTCAATTAAAGTCGGTCCATATCTTTTTTCTTCCTTTAACTAGGAGAGACGACGTGTTTCCCCACCGACACAAAAAACTACAATCTGTGTACTGATTATTCACGTCGCCCCGCCATTTAATTGTAGCCCTTGCCCCGATGAGTGAGTGACACCAAATAGATACTAAAAAGACGAAAGTGGTCTACTCATATTAAAAATGAGTCCACGTGCCGTTTGATTTGCCTGAATAAACACAAAATGGGTCCTCGTCTTTTGACCAGCACCACACCTCTGTCATTTTAATTTTCGCCAAGAGCTACACAACGTCGGACTTGACATAAACGATTTTGACCTGTCCCGGATTTGTTTTTTCCTAATGGGAAGACCTACGCACATTGTTACTACCGACGCATCCAGTCCACGCAGCACTGGCTTTGAGTCCATTGTCGCGGGGGTCGTGTCTGGGTGCGTGACACGCTCGTGCACGTCGCCTTTGGACGTGCTCAAGATTGTCATTCAAGTCAATGGCCCTACAGCTGCTTCCGTCTCTGCCCCGTCTACACTCATGGCTGCACGTACAATCGCATCGCAGCCATCAGCATCTTCTGCTATTGCACGCACAGTGCGTGAGTTGTACGCACTGGATGGTGTGCGTGCCTTTTGGCGTGGCAATAGCGCCGGCTGCTGCCGTCTTGGACCTTATGCAGGTCTTAAATTTTACCTCTTTGACTCTCTACAGACTCGATTCGCTGCTAAAGAGGGACATGAGCTCAGTAACTTGCAGCGTGCGTTGTGTGGCGCTGTTGCTGGACTTATTGCTACCATGGGAACGTATCCCTTGGAAGTGGTACGAACTCGTATGATTTCTCAGACAACTGCTCCAGTTGCTGCTAATAGCGAAATTCGTGGAGTTTTACAAGGTGTTCAACTGATCTTAAAGCGGGAAGGACTGCGTGGACTGTATCGTGGTGGCTGGTCGGGTGTTGTTGGTGCAATTCCATTTGAGGGCGTGCAATTTGGCTGCTACGAGTACATGAAATTGACAGCCGTTCACAACCATTGGCCGGCTTATCGTTGGCCTGAGGGTAAGACGGAGATGGATGGATTGGACTATTTTGTCTGTGGCAGTATTGCCGGTGCTATTGCCCAGACGGTGGCGTATCCATTTGATACAGTAAAGAAACGTCTGCAATCACAGCAAAAGCACGTATCCAAAATGGGCCCATTATCAGCCGAAGGAGGCAGTGCATCGACGCTGTACTACCGTGGGATGGTGGATTGTTTTCGTAAAGTTATCAGGGACGAAGGGCCATTGGCACTGTATCGTGGCACAAGTGCCAACCTGGCACGTATTATGCCGTATGCTGCAGTCATGTTTTCAACGTACGAAATGACAAAGAAGACACTGCGTGTACTGAGTGTAAGTGGCCGCGAGTGAACGAGTGAGTGTGTGTGTGTGAAAAGAGAAGCTGAAGAGAGAGACAAGAAGTCGGTCTTCTTGATATTTATTAGTTCCGAATGTATGCGACGCCTCTGGTGAGCTGGAAGCTCATGAGCTGCATCAAGTGCCACTTGTATACGTTACTGTACTGTAGAGAGGAGAAGTGCTTGATCGTAAAAGCAAACGTTTATTGCAAAATAATTGAACCGAGCAGCATTGTACTTGTTCACGTTACTATCAATATGAGGGCTATAGATGTCTCCAAAACACTAAAAGAACAGCCCGCTGATTGTAAAATAACTTGAGAAACCAGCTTCCCTTAACCTTGGAGAGTCTCCCATAGTTACGCAAAGATATAAGGTCAGAGGGAGAACTCCTTACTGCGCGCGTTTCAAAAAAACAGCGTAGTGTAGTAAGCAATTCGAAGTCCGCACTTTACACATGAAATGTTGCGAAGTGCATTAACAATGTGACAATTCTCCCTTTCCCCCAAAATCAATTCCTACCCTTTCCAATCTGCCAAACCGCCGCTTCATATGCCGAGATCAAACTTCGATACCATCCCTCTAATAGGGAGATCATTTCCCTTCCTAATCGAATAAAAAGCCCATCTAAGCCCCATCACCTTCATTATGAGGTTTTTCATCTTCTTCCTTTTTATGCACCGTCTCAAACGTTCTGTGGAACAGAACAAAGAGATCAAACAAATATAAATCAGATCCGACAAAGTACAAAACTCTTTACATCACGCCAGCCTTTCATCTTTCTCCTGTCTGTATAGGAAGTAACTAACTCACCAATTTGTACTCATGCCCATTAATCTTCACGTTATTTCATCCACAGAAGATAGCACTCGACCCAAAAAATGACTAGGATCATTAATGCCATGAGTTTGTTTAAAGTGGATGGTCAGCAGCTGTCCATCTTTCGACCGCGACCTTTGATCCACCAATAGCATGTGAGTTATAATACTACATCCACTGGCCTTTCTACTAAACACAAGCCATTTTACATCTCACTAGCTCAGTTAGAAAAATCCGCCCATAAAGACGCATCTCCTCTCACTTATTATGGGCAATACCGCTACAAAAGACGTCTCTAGTATGTCACGACCAGCAGTAGCTCCAGCCACTGAAGAGTCAGCATCAGATCCTTCATTCCGTGTCCTCTCAGCCACTCAACGTGCTATTACCTTCGATGAACGGGTGCATCTTCGCACAAATACTAAAGCTCATGCTGATCATGTAACGCTCGGTCTTGACGTCATGTCGGACGAATTTCGACCGTTACAACGTGCTGCGACCTTTGACCATCGTCTACGTACCCAAAAGCAGCTCTTAACAGCATCTGACGTGATGCATCGTCGCTATTTTAATGCACGTGAGCGACGTGTTAGTAAAAGTGCCGATCGCAATTTGTTTCGTATCGCTGAGAGTGATCGAGAACGTCAAGAGGCCATTGTCATTGTGGATCCATATACTACAGGCATGACGATGGCTGAGAAGGTCTTGGAACGTGGATATCTTTGTATCTGTGTCTATTCCGACACACTTGAAGTGACACAGGAGCGTATTGCACACGTACCAAACGACTTGGCTGCCAAGTTTCTAGCGATTATCTACCATAATGGAGAAGTAGAACGTGAAGATGAGGATCAAGCACTGGAGGACACGGCAGCAGCAGTGCGTCACGTCAAGAATGTCGATATTATCGGCATCTTTGCTGGTGCTGAAACGGGCGTCTTGCTCGCTGATAAACTGTCAGAGCACTTTAAGCTCACGACTAATGGTACAAAAGGCTCAGCTGCTCGACGCAATAAATATTTGATGGGTGAGAAGGTCCGTGCAGCCGGAATACGAGCTGTGGCTCAAGTACAAGCGACCAAATGGTCACAGGTCGAGTCTTTTGTCAATGACAGCCTTGTGCCGATGCTTCAAGGCGGAGACTTTAAGGTTATTGTAAAACCTGTGGACAGTGCGGGAAGTGACGATGTCATGCTGTGTCAGTCAATGGATGAAGTTCGTCTTGCTTTTGGAAACATTCAAGGCAAGATCAATGGATTGGGACTCGAGAATCAAGCGACACTGGTGCAAGAGTATTTAGACGGTATTGAGTATGTCGTGGATACGGTTAGCCGCAATGGCGTGACGAAGGTTGTGGCTTTGTGGGAGTATGACAAGCGTGCGGTGAATGACGCGCCGTTTGTATACTATGGCGTCTTGCTGCGGGCTGCTCCTGATGGTTCTGTGTTGGCTAAGGTATCCGATTATGTTCTGAAGGTGGTGGATGCGCTGGAAATCGTGCACGGACCTGCACATGCGGAAGTCAAGGTAGTGAGAGGTGAACCGTGTCTTGTAGAAATCGGCTCCCGCTGCCACGGTGGATCTGGATCGTATCTGCCTATTGTGACTCCCTGTCTTGGCTACAACCACGTGGACGCTGCATTGGACTCGTATCTGAACGCTGAAGCGTTTGAACGATTGCCAGAGCGTCCGAAGGAGCTTAAATCTTATGGCTGCGAAGCAATGCTCGTGTCGTATGAGACTGGAAAGCTTGCGGGTTACCCAGGCAAGGAGGAACTAGAGAAACTACCGTCTACAGTGTCCACGGTGTGGTTTACGCATATTGGAGACGAGCTAAAAGCCACAGTCGACATGTTTACGACGCCTGGCAGTGTCATTATGGTCCACGAAGACGAAGAGCAGCTGAAACGTGACTACGCACGCATCCGCGAGCTGGAACACAAGGGTTTGTATGCGCTAAAACCCAAAGAAAAAGCTGGTCAAGAGGGACCGCGTGGTTCTGTTGTGGTGGTAGACCCTTTCGCGACGGGGGCTGTGCTCGCACACGAGCTTATGACTAGAGGGTACGAGTGCATTTGCGTATACAGCCATGACCCAGAGGTTGTCAAGACCGCCGTAAATTTGGTGCCAGAAGGACTTACGCTGGAGTTTGCGGCTACCGTTGCGTACGAGGGTAGTCTGGATCAGACTGTCAGTGCCATTCGCGAGGCTGCGATGAAGATTGCCGAGCGACACAAGAAGAAAAGTCACGGTGCAACAACAAATACTTCGGTGTGTGCGGTGCTCGCTGGTGCGGAAATAGGTGTCAAGCTGTCAGACGCTCTCACTGATGCACTCGGGCTAAAGGGTAACCCCATGGAGCATTCGCACGCACGACGTGACAAGTATCTTATGGGTGAAACGCTGCGTACTGCCGGGCTACGTGCCTTAAGGCAGGTGAAGGCAAACACTTGGGCTGAGGCGGAGGCCTTCATCATGCAGGATCTGAAGCCAGAGCCTTTCCAAGTAGTGCTTAGGCCGTTGGAGAGCGCGGGTACTAAAGACGTGGTGCTGTGCCTATCGTTGGAAGAAGCTAAGCGAACCTTTGACGGTATCCTAGGCAAGGTCAATGGCCTTGGACTCCAGAATGATGCTGTTTTACTGCAAGAGTACCTGGAAGGCGACGAGTATGTGGTTGATACGGTTAGCCGCAACGGAGAGCACAAGGTGACCGCCATTTGGAAGTATGACAAGCGTCGCGTGAACGACGCTGCATCCGTGTACTTTGGACTGTCATTGGTGCCTGCCGAGGGTGTTGTGAACGAAGTGATTGACTACCAGCTCCAAGTTCTCGGTGCGTACTGATTTTTCCTATGTACTTGTCTATTGTTGAGCCATTCAAACTGACATCCTCGTGGCAATTGCTTGTCGCCAACAGACGTACTGGGCATGTGCAATGGCCCTGCACATGGAGAAGTCAAGTTTTGTTGTGGCTCTCCAGTGCTAATTGATGTTGATACCCGATACCACGGGGGTGAGTGCGCTTGGGCGCCTCTCGCTAATATTTGCTTGGGATACAACCAAGTTACTGCTGCCGTCGACAGCATTTTGGATGGCGAAGCTTTCGCCAAGCTGGCTGACAGGCCTAGGAAGCTGCTTGCGCACGGTTATGTGGCCTTGCTAGTGTCGTACAAAAATGGCGTCTTGAAGAGCATGCCAGGCATCGCGATGATTGAAAAGATGCCAGCTTTTCTTAAGAAGGCGATTTTTGTCGCACCGGGAGACAATATGCGTCAGACAGTGGATATGTTCACAACGCCAGGTAGCATTATGCTTACGCACAAGGACCGTGACGTGCTCGAGCAAAGTCTTGCTCGTATTCGCGAACTCGAGGTTGAGGGACTTTTCGAGCTGGAGTAGATTGGTAGAAGGATGAGAGCAACGTCACACAAGATGCACGCGCCGGCATGAGCTGGCATAACAGGTTCAGTCAGTCTATGTATCCCTTGTCACTGTATTATCTAATCGACTCCTTAGTCGTTTGCGTGTCATGATTTGTGAACGTGGTGCTTGAGACAGTAGTCGGTCTTGTAGGTCAACGTCTTTAAACGCACCGCTGGCAGTAGCCAGAGCACTTCATCGGCGATGGATTATAGCCGCTTCCTTTATAACTGTGACCATCGCAATGACCATGAGTCCTAAAGATGGTGTGAGCAGCGTATTGTTACGAAGACTTTTCCGTGAAAATGGCTGTAGAGTATGAGTTGCTCAAGACTTGTAATAAGAGATCGCAATCATTGCTCTCATCATGTATTTGGAGATGACTTGACAGGGTAGACTAGTAACGGATAGAAATAACAGTGCTGATGTATGAAACGCTGATATCGGGAATGTGGTGGAGGTTGTTGAGAGAGATTGCATCAGAGGTGTTACGACGATGAATGCTGGGTCGTGTAGATAAGTTCTGCTGTTCTTGCAGCCGATAGCGCTAGCAAGTCTGATACATGTAACTGTTGTGTCTCCAGCTGATAGTAGTAACGTGTGGAAGTACTCATTCTACTGGAAGAAGATGGAGCTTCCACTACTCGAAGATCATCGTCAGCAAGAAAGTGAACGCGCTTGTCGTCACAAGAGAAGTGGCTGTGGATGCAGAAGCTCATACGTTATCACTCTTTGCGGATGAACAAGGAAATGGAATACAGTAGACCGAGTATAAGCTGCGCATATTCTTTGAGTAAACATTGATAGTAAGGACTGGAAGAGCTCAGGTTAAAGACACGTTCTATTGAGCATTTGGTATGGCTTAGATGGCTGCAATATGCACCTTTCGCAGTGAACATGACTACATAACAGTTTAAGGCTCGTCCAATTCCGCTGTCGATCAGCCGATAAGGGCGGCATACGTGGGGTTAGTGAAGTAGAAGGTGAGGTATATTTAAGTACGCGTACGACCTATTACATCTTGTCGCCAGGTAATAGAGTTACCGTGGCGGCTTCTACTTTAATAACTAGGTGTAACTAGTCCTCGGACAGCCAGGCGCCGTCGCGCAGAGTCTTGTCTCGAGATGATCAGGTTCCGTGGCGTCATCGCGGGTTCCTGGGGTTTGTGGGTATCGTCTTGAGAGGCCTCCACCCAGTAGTTGACATCATGGTCAAGGAATGCCGAAGCCTCCGTGACAACACCTTCCTCTGCGAAAGCGTGCACTTGAATAGAGGCTCCGGTGTCCATAGCGATACTCGCCAGTCATAGTGTGCAAGGTCAGAGCCGCGTCGTTGTTTGAGGAATCGCACACAGCTTACCTCATCGATAGGCCGTTGGATAGTTATAACTCCAAGGTATGTTCGTTTTGCTGTCAGAAGTCACGGGCTCTGCTTCACCCATAAACCTCATGACCCTGATTTGTAAACTGTACTCGAGTGCTGATCTGCATGTCAAGTATTGAAATGAATGTGTATCTCATGATGATCTTACTCGCATGATAGGCGACAACACCACAGAAGGATACCAAAAGTTGGAGCGACTTTCATTTCTTGCCACTCTGTTGGGTTGATGCAAAAGCAAATTTTCCGATCGGAGGGTAGTCTAGGCTCAATACAGATATGCTTATGTAGTCAAGACATACACATGTTTGTTTGTCTATGCATGATAGTGAACGCTAATACATTACTTGAGCATTAGTGCGCTCGCTTCTATCTTCTATCTGCATTAGCAGCCTTCGTAAATTGCGTCCCAGTACTCAATCCTTCTTGGTGCAATTAGAAACACCAACTACGAGTGTCATCATTCGAGAGGTTATCATAAAGTTAATGTGCCATAACGGTATCGGCCATCTAAGAGCACTTCGAACAGCATTTCGAGAGGTCTCAACAGCCATAGGTAGTCACGACGATTCTGGTCGCAGGAACATTGATTGATGGTATTCAACTTTCTTGATGGTTGCATTCCAATCAATCACGTCGCCTTCGCCAACCCACTTTCAATGTGCAAAATGCAGAACGACAAGTACATCATGCTGCGAACATTTTCAGGCGAGACCAATTACATCAAGTATCTTTCAGTGCGCTGTGAATCCTTGCCCCACGTGTGCCGCCTTATCGATGAATATCTGGTGGACTCTATACATCCACAGGTTCTTCAAGACGCATGTGAACATGGAGCATCAAGTGACGACCTCGAGTTCATTCGGAAGAGGACAGCTCCAAACTGGACGAATGTGGTAAAAGCAGCAGCTAGAGGTGGATATTTACACGTGTTTGAGTGGATGTTAGAGCGGCAAGACGGTTGTTGTCCGTGGGAGGTTGATCTTAGAGATGTTCTTGCAGAGGCTGCTGCACATGGTCACCTCAAACTTATGAAGTGGCTATATAGTCGAGGTATTGACAACGTTGGCAACAAAGTGTTTGATCGAGCTGCTACTGAAGGACACCTCTTGATTGTGCAATGGCTGAACAAACATACCAAACTTACTGGACATAATTATATACTTAGTGGTGCCGCTAGAAACGGTCACTTCGAAGTTGTGCAGTGGTTATATGAGAACGTTTGTAGGGAACAGTTGGCATCAGCAATGGATGCAGCCGCAGAAAATGGGCATCTAGAAATACTACAATGGCTACATCAACGAGTTTGTTGTGATGGTGTGTGCACCACTGACGTCATGGATGCAGCAGTCGATGGCGGTCACTTCGATGTCGTCAAGTGGTTGTTTGAGAACTGCAACGCTGGTTGCTCCAAGCGTGCTTTTCAATCTGCTGCCTCTAATGGGGATTTGCCCATGCTGCAATGGCTACATCAACATTTTCGTCAAAAATGTCATTGGTATGTAATGGATGATGCGGCAAGAGGGGGTCAGCTTCATGTTCTCAAGTGGCTGCACGAACAAGGATACGATGGCTGTACAACGAATGCGATGAACAAGGCTGCAGAAAACGGACGTCTTGATATTGTGCAATGGCTGCACGAAAATCGAAATGAAGGATGTACGATACACGCAATGACTTCTGCTGCAAATGAAGGACACTTGCACGTCGTTAAGTGGTTGCACGAAAACAGGTCCGAAGGATGCGATGATTCAGTTATGGATTGGCCAGTCTGCCGCGGATATTTGGAGATGGTCAAGTGGCTAGTCGAGCACAAACCGGAAATGTGTCGTGATAATTTGATGGAAGAAGCTGCATGGCACGGTCATTTGGATGTGGTTGTCTATTTAGATGGAAACACGAGGCAACAAGGCTCTGAATGGGGTCTAGGTGCTGCCGCTAAAGAAGGCTATGCGAAGGTAGCTATCGCGTTGATGCAACATCATTCCAGAATGTTCCGACGTGGGATCTACATGTGCATCTGGGGGCTGTTAAACCAGCTTTCAAACCAGGGTGCAACTCCAGCTTCTCCATTGTGGAACGAAATATTGAAGATGCTCGAGCTCTTCCATGGTGATGAATTTATTGCAGGTGTGATCACACTGCTTGAACTAGCACTGCAACGTGGATATTTGGTCATGGCTCGACAATTTTTCGAGCACAGAAGCGAACAGGAAAAGTGCCAATATGTTGCTATTGCTGCCGATCATAATGATATCGTATTGATGAGGTGGCTGATCGAGAATGGGGCCCCATTGAGCGTTCATACATCCATCTCTCTTGCCTCAGATCACGTGTTCAGAAAACAGTGTGTCGAAGTTACTTGGTGGTTGTCTGAAAGCGATCGCGTGGTTGTCATTCGTAACGCTCTACAAAACAATGTCCGCAAGTTGTTGCTGTGGGTACTAGATAATACCGTCTTCAAGGATGAGACTTCACGAAATGCTATTCAAAGTGCTCTTACGAGGGCCGATAACGTTACAGTACACTGGCTTTGTGATAACCTCTCGAATGATGACGCTCGTAGTTGGTGTTTCCCATTGCATCAAGAAGGATCGAGCACTGTGACGCCATTTATAAGGGATACCCTTGCAGATAGACGCTAGGAGCGAGCGCACTACGACTCAAGTAATGTATTACGCGTTTACTATCATGCAAACGAACTAACACTACAAAGTGGTGTTTCTTGACTAGATAAGCATATTCCTAATGAGCCTAGACTACCTCCCATCAGAAAGTCTGTTTTTGCATCGAAGAAATTGCATCATCTTCTCTACCCAACACCCAGTGGCAAGAAATAAAAGTCGCTCCAGCTTTTGGGATTCTTTTGTGGGGTTTTGCCTCTAGAGACTGATTAGTTGCATTAAACTTTTGTGCGGGTACATGAAGCAACACATTCGTTTCTAGGGTAAATGGGTCTTCAAAAGTCTTTGAGATCGTGAAATTCTTATCATTGTGAGGTTTGGCATTTGACGATATGCATTCATACTAGCGAATATGATAAGGTAAAGCGATTGCTAGAAGTATGCAATGAATGGAATTTGTCGATCAAGTGTTTTTGGGAACGACGTAAGGTAGATTACCTGGGTCACCAAGTCTCACTTGCAGGAATAGAAGCTCATCCAAAGGATTTGGGATCTCTGGTGAACATTCCGTTCCCAAAGACGTTGCGATCGATGCAATCGTTTCTGGGAAGCTTGAATTACTATAGTCGATTTGTCGAAGACTTTGCGATTTATGCGTCAGTGCTATATGAATTAAGGGAAGCAGATTTCCACGAAATCCGCTGTTCTGATAAGATGAATGCATTGGATTCGACTGTCGCAACCAGGAATGATTCAGATCAAAAGTTCGATATTGGGGACGATCCAGATCCAGAAGGACGGACTCGATGGGAAAAAGCGATGATCGCATTTACCATGTTAAAAGCCAAGATCGCTAATACCCCGATCCTCAAACACTTCGATCCAGATCGACCTCCGGTAATTGTCGTATATGCGAGTAAATGGGCAGTTTCAGCAGCTTTGTTGCAGGGGTATGATGGCACATACTGGCCAGTTACGTTTACAAGCCGGACGCTGAAGCCGAATGAGATCAATTACGGAATGGTCGAAAAGGAGATACTAGCTTTACTTCGGATTTTGGATTTTATGTTATTGCATGCTAGTCTCGCGAGAGATTAAAGTTCTTACGCGTTTCTCGACGATGGCCTGGTTGGTGCAATCCTCCGGACCCAACGAGCGTTGACTCATGGGAGCCTGTTGACGCTTTGCGCGTCGACGTGCCTGGGATGGTGGCTGATTATGTGAAGCAGCACCAGCTGACATCTTTCTGCTAAGTCCGGATGGACTAGCAGAAGAAGCGTGGTGAGAATTAATTGGGGGTCGCTTACCACCCAAATTTCATGCGCACGCTTCATGGCGAAGCTGATTCGCTGCGACCGTTGTTTCGTTGCATCTACATGCAATGTTACACGGCGCCGGAGTTCAGCTTCATATTCGTCGGCTGTTTCGTTAGAACGCAGCACGACTGGAATTGGGAAAGCACGTCCAAGTGCTTTGCCCTGCTTTTTCCACACGGGAAAGACGCTATAAAACTTATGAGCGTCAATAGTTGCACGCTGCAAAAGCGCTGCACTAGACTCCTTCGATTTTATTCACTCGGATGGAGGTGGCATTGGTGGCAAGCCACCACTCACGTAGCCGCCCTCGCGACGGCGGGCTAGAGAGGCCGAAGGTGTACTTGGTGGAGATTAAGCTCACACTCACCTGAGTCTGACTTTCCATTATGGATTGTCAAGACATCAGCATGAGGAGTCACATCTGACTGAGTCGCGACTACTTCTTTCGAAGTAGCGTGCTCAGTCTTAGTTGCTGCGCTCGTAGGCGCAGGCGACGAGATTTTACCTTCGATTGTAGGAAGCATAGATGCTCCCTCAAGGACGGGTGCCTCAAATGATGGGGACATATGTCCCATCAATGCACTACGCTCATCTCCACTTTGGGGTGATGGCAATGGCGTACTCTCATTGTAATCTACAATGAGAGATGGACCTTCATCCACATTAATAGTGAGATGGAAGATACGTCTCAGTGCCTGAAGCACTTAAGGGTAAGACGGTCTTACCGCTTCCTCGATTGTGCAGAAGGTGTGTGCTAATTAGCACGAGGCAAATTTGTAGAAGGCCCGTCTACACCCTTTATCATGCAGGATCTGAAGCCAGATTTTGTCAAAGTAGTGCTAAAGCCATAGGAGATTGCGGGGACTAAAGACGTGGTGCTGTGCCTACGTTAAACAAAGATAAGCGAGCCTCTGACGGTACTTTTGGCAAGACCAAGTGCCTTGGAATTGATAATGACGCTGTTTTACTGCAAGAGTACCTGGAAGGCGACGAGTATGTCGCTGTTACAGTTAGCCGCAACGGAGAGCACAAGGTGACCGCCATCTGGATGTATGACAAGCGCCGCGTGAACGACGCTGCATATGCATCTGTGTACTTTGGACTGTCATTGGTGACTGCCTAGGGTGTTGTCAACGAGGTGATTGACCTTCAGCTCCAATTTCTCGGTGCGTATTGATTATTTCTACGTACTTCGCTATTGTTGAGCCATTTAAACTGACATTTTCGTGGCGAATGTTTGCTCCAACAGACACAATAGCCCTTCAAATGGAGAGGTCAAGTTTGTCGTTGCTGTATCGGTGTTACACGACGGTTGTTACATCATACCGAAAGTTTACGGTTGAATTTTTTATATCGCATATAATGTATTCTTGATACTTTTCTTTAGAGAGGTATTAAGTATGAGCATTAAAGATACGGTATTCGGTAATACCGTATCTTATCAATTAGGATTCGATAATCGATATCGCTGTACTAAGTACATCATACACAAATGTTTGGACGACACATCGTCTAATAACAAAGTCTGCATATAATAACTTTTATTATAGTAATTAATCTAGTGTAGAGTACATAGAGTAGGGCTATTCATTAAATCTTAATGCATAAATAAAATAAGTCCTTATTATGAATTAAAGATCTCAAGACTCGATAGATCTTGTTCTCTTGTGCACTTCGTGCGTTAATTCTTTGAACCTTTAATTGTTCTTGCACTCTGTGCGTTGATTCTCTGAACCTTAAGCTATTTCTTGAAGACTAGAAGTCCCTCCTAGTTCCTTAAAAAAGGGTTGTTTAAATAGTTTTCTAAAACTAAGTGGCTTTTAGCCGTAAATTTATTCAATTCTGTAGAACTAAGAGGCTATCAGCCATAAAAGCCTTCTTCTGACTTAAAAGCTGTGTAGCTTCGCTACAGTGGCTCTCGAGTGCTTATTGATATTGATACCCGATACCACAGGGGTGAGTTCGCTTGGGGCCCCTCGCTACTATTTGCTTGGGATACAACCAAGTGTTTGCTCCCATCGACAGCATTTTGGATGGCGAAGCTTTCGCCAAGCTGGCTGACCGGCCTAGGGAGCTGCTTGCACGCGCTTTTGTGGCCATGAGATTGTCGTACAAGAACGGCGTCAAGAAGAGCATGCCAGGCATAGCAATAACTGAAAAGATGTCAGCTTTTTTCAAAAGGCGATTTTTGTCGCGCCGGGAGACAATATGCGTCAGACAGCGGATATGATCACAACGCCAGGTAGCATTATGCTTACGCACAAGGACCGTGACGTGCTCAAACAAAGTATTGCTCGCATTAGCGAACTCGAGGTCGAGGGGCTTTTCGAGCTGTAGTAGATTGGTAGAAGAATGAGAGCAACGTCACACAAGATGCACGCGCCGGCATAAGCTGGGAGACTGTAGACGGGCACTTCTAAGTAGTTGCCTCGTACTACTTAGCACACACCTTCAGCACAAGCGAGGAAGATGTGGTGGAGTGGGATTCGCAAAATTGCTGATGCGACTCCAACTCTCCACTGGCGCCTGGACGACCGAATAACGGAGGGGGTGCCCCGTTTTCGCGTGCAAAGCCTTCTTCACCTTGTGTACCAGTCGTTTGGGCGTGTTGCTCTCTTCTCGGGGGACTTGAGTCGATGTTGATCCTAATCGGGTTAGGGATAGGGTTTTTTTGGTGATTTTGTGGAAATCTTCACAAAATCGACCGAGTACTTGTTTGTTGATCGTACCAATAGATACCAATAGTCCAATAAGGCGAAGCTTGAATCGTCTGACCACTTGAGCAGAACCTTCTGACCACTTGATCCGTCCTGCACTTGATTCGCCTTGCCCTACGTGTTTTATCTGCGTCCGATCGCAGTTGAGTTGTTGTGTTGAGATTCCCTCACCTGGCCAAAACAATCCAGGATGCACTTGTAGTCGATATTCTCGGCGTCGGGAGGCCAAATATCCTGCCCGGAATAGAGAAGTCTACACGTGTACTTGGAAGCAAATTGAACTCTGTTAATGTTAACCAATCAAATACCAAAACCTATGATCTTGACTATCTGTAGCTCAGGATCTATTGCCACGTATCGCCCTTTCGGAAAAATCAGATGTTGTAATGTGGTCCACTCCAATATCGCCGCGATCTGGATCGCTACCTCGCTCGGATATAATATCATTTTTGTATCGGATCGCGTTACTTGTTTTAGTATCGGATCGCGATACTATATAATTAGTATCGGATCGCGGTCCGCCGGATCACGACTTGTCCTTTTCACCGTTTCTCAGGTCATGTGAGATAGTTCATCTATGTGACATGTCATGTCCACCTCATTCCAGTCCTCCATATCGACGTGATCCACACCAGACCGTCTTCCACATGCTTGGATGTACCCATCCTCCTTCTTAGCGACCGCGTTCACGCGGATCGCCATCGGAAATACTGGAGATCGCAATAGCGTAGTTTCTAGGCCATATTTGACCCCACATAGAAGTGCAAACTACACCATTCACTGTTTTCCATCCTATTTGACATCGTCTTGAAACCTTTCTGCGAGATCGCGACTCATCAATATTGGCCACGAGATCGCGACTCATTAATATTGGCCATTTCGGACTTAACCGAAAATATGCGATCACACTTGGCGAAATTCACTCCTTCACTTCGCCACAATCGCGCGTGACGAGCACACCAGTTCGGGGGTGGCGATCTTTTTCGGG